TCTCTCTCTCTCTCTCTCTCTCACACACACACACACAGAGCTCAGGAACAGGTGGCTCACTCAGCAGACTCAACCTCCATGGCCCACCTCCTTGACCTCCACAGTCTGCCTCTGCCTTCCAGAAATAGGTCAGCTGGCCCAACAGAGCCCCAGGACACAATAGCCCCTTTCTTTGTTTTTGCCTCTGAGGAAATGGGTAAGCTCCATCAGGCCAAACATCTTAATGTGATCAAAGTTATTCCGCAAAGGCTTAAGGAGAAGGGCAGGAGGAGGAGACTGGTGGAGGCCTGCAAATGGGGGAGACACACTTCCTATACCCTCCTTGCCTGGAAGAGGGAGATGGGGAAACCCTACAGGGAACAGAGAACAATTGGCATTGGCCCATTGGGTGGATGAGAATGTGGAGGCCACTGGACACTGAGCTTCCTGGCTGCCATTTAGACATCCAATCAGTGGAGGCCTCTGGACCTTGGGCTTCCTGACTGTCATTTAGACATCCAATCAGTGGAGGCCTGTGGACCTTGGGCTTCCCAGCTGTTATTTAGACATCCAATCCATCAGGCAGAATCTCCTGGTTTGGCCCGTCCTATATCCCCAACCCTGGGCTTGTCATGCTCATCCATTTCTTCTAATTGAAGGAGTTCTTCAAGGGATGAGCTGATTACTGCTGACCCCCATGGGGTCTGAGCCCCTCCCCACCACGCACTAAGAGGTATTAATGACAGCTCAGCAGCAGGTGCGGGGGGGGGCACCCCTGTCCTCAGAATCTCTCTGCGAAGCCTCAATTCATGCCACTCACCCCAGCCCACCACCCCAAACCTCTGTGGATGCCCACAGAGCCTCAGCCACCCACATCCAGAGTGGCCAGGGGACCATAATGGCTTTCTTGAGATATATTTTTTTTGGTCAGTTATGTCTTGAACTCGGCCTGGGCGCTGTCCCTTAGGGCAGGCGCTCCACCACTTGGGCCACCAGCGCCACTTCCCTTTCCCGACATCTTTAGGCACAAACCTGGGGCAGCTGCTGGAGATGGTGCAGGTCCAGAAAGAGAAAGAGAGAGAGAGAGAGAGAGGGAACCTCAAAGGACCTCTGAGACACTGGCTAACACCCAGAGATCTTTGAGCCACGTGGGGAAAAAATTCTGAATGGAAGGCTGAAGTCACGTGTCTAAAACAATACCCAATCTCTCACCCTGTCTAAAGTCTCAAGACAGACAACTCCGGCCCATGGCTAGTGGTTTGTCTTTTGGGATCCCAGTCCTGGAAGACTGACCTGTGATTCTTATACCTCTGAGAGCCCACCAGAGTGCATTATTTATAAGAATGGGGTCTCTCCAGAGTGGGTATCTTGGGGCTCTGAATTTTCTCTTCTCTCCCTGCCCCGCCCAACCAATTCTAACATCCCCGCTTCTTCTAAGGCCACCCAGCCCCCATCCTCACCCCCACCTCTCCCTTGTTGGCTTCCAACCTCACTGGCTGTGTGTGTGTGTGTGTGTGTGTGTGTGTGTTTTCCTTTCTTTAGGCAAATTGTGCTCTACCAGGTCCTGAGAACGGCTGTCTGCCGGACAGTCAAAGGCCCGTTAGCAATGCCAACAGCCCACCCAGGGTCCTGGGCTCCTCTTTGCTAGATCTTTCTCCAGGAGGGAAAAATAAACAGCCTAAGGACACAGTTTACCTTGGAGTATGGAGGCATAAGAATGATCTCCTTCTTATCTGAATGTATTTAGGACTCCTGGGATGTGACCAGAAAAACAAGTGGAATGCAATAGCTGTCTCCAGACTGGAAATCTGTGTCGGCTGGGGCTAGGGTGGGGAGGGAGGTCTGGGACAGGGACGGGGAAAGGGGGGTGAGTTTGGTCGTAGACCAGGAGTGAATGCAAATTAGCAATGACAGTTGTACCCTTGTCCAATCCTGTCTGTAGCCTGGCAGGTGGAGGGGACAGGCTCTCCCAGAGCCTCTCCAGGTAGGGGAGATTACTATTCCACCTGTGTGTGTGTGTGTGTGTGTGCGTGTGTGTGTGTGTGTCTGTGCTGGTACCAGGACTTGAACTCAGGGCCTGGGCACTTGTCTCTTAGCCTTTTCACTCAAGGCTCTACCACGTGAGCCATACCTCCACTTTGGCTTTTTTGGTGGTTCATTGCAGATAAGAGTCCCATGCAGTTTCCTGGGTTGGCTTTGAACTGCCATCCTCCGGATCTCAGCCTCCTGAGGAGCTAGGATGACAAGCTGAACCACCAGTGCCAGGCTTCCTCCTCCCCTTCCTCCTCCTCCTCCTCTTCTCCTTCTCCTATTTCTCCTTTTTGGTCTGAGACTAGGACTTGAACTCAGTACCTGACACTTTTGCTCAATGGCTGGCACCCTACCAACTAAGCCATGCCTCTAACCTCAAGGGTTGGTTATGTCTTTTCTTTCTTTTTTATGGGGATACCATACTTTCTCCTGGGGTGGTTATGGGGGTACTGAGGAACTCAGGACCCACTCCAGGCAGGAGGGCCTGGCTGGCTGGCTGAGGTGTCAAGTTCCATGCCAAAGACTAAAGAGGGACCAAAGATGAGCCCAAAATGATCCTTTCACCCACTGGAGGGGCCTACAGGCCACCTTCCCCCCC